CCTCAGCTGCCCTGTTTTGCAGCAGCGTTGACAAGCCTAAGCTCACTGGCCAGCTCCGCGACCTGCTCTGCCCGTGCGTGACCCCGGGGTGAGAAGGGCCCGCACCACCCTGCCGCATCCTCACAAACGGGCGCGGGCGAAACGGTAGATTCAGGTAGCGCCACCTCCTCCAGGGGTGCCCACTGCTGGGAACCAGCGCTCGGCCCATTGCGGTTGTTCAGATTTAGCTTCTCTCCACAGACGCGAAGACCTTGGGAAGAGCCACGGGATCTCTTGGGCCGCCTCCTACCACAATGCTGCCATCTGTTGAGGAGATTGGCAACTACTCGAGCCACCGCTCACACCACGTTGCTTTGGTTCCCTCGAGACTATTCCTTCAATCTGGAACCTGCTCGTGGCACCTCCTGGCCCCCTTTTGGAAGACTGCGAAGGCATCACTGACCACATCCACACTAAAATACTCTGAGGCAGCACCACAAGATTCTCTGTTGAGAGAACAGAAGGAAAAAACAAAAACCAAAACAAACCAAAAAGACACCACCACCACCACAAAACAGCCAAACAAAAACCCATCCATCTTCATGAAAAATCACTTTCAAGGTAAGGGACAGTCCAATTCTTAGCATGCAAAATATAGTAGAGAACATACAGAAGACAGAGATACGAGAGACACAAGAGTGTTGTTTGTAGAAGGCAGAACTGTGCTTTTTCCATGTCATCCCCGGTAGCGTCACAAGTATTCATCAAATCCTGATGACTTGGCTAAGGGAGCAAAAGCAACTGAGAACTGAAGTGATTTTGCCTTTTTTTAAAAAACAAACAAACAAAGTGCTGAGCTTTCCACCACTTGGATTTCTTGGCCCCACCTTGCCGTGGATGTAGGAGACAGCCCCTGTCAGCGCATGGGCTGCAGTAGAGCATGAAACTGAGGGACAACAGGGACACTCTCTCTTTGGCAGCAAACAGTTAGACCGAGTTAGCTACAAAGTCAAAGCGCACCCTTGGGTCTCTGCTGGCTATGGAGACCAAAGGCATGGGCAAAGGACAGACAGGAAAAGCGTGAAATCAAAACAGACCAAGGAGAAAGAGAAAACGCACACTAGATGCAAAGCAGGGGCTGGACTGTGAGTGCTGATCGTGGGAACAGATGGAGAGATACAGAGAGAAATGACACCCATAGCACTCGAGATCATATGTGTGAGAAAGGAGGGGAGGAAGGGGAGGAGAGAGAGGTGGGAGAGAGGGAATTCTGTAAGACAAGATGATTTAGGGAGAAATGGTTTAAGAAAAATAGAACCAGGACATAGTGTTCACCAGAAAATCACTGTCTAGTTATGCTAGTACAGGTAGAGAGGAATGATTCTTTAAAAGAAAGAACAGCTTAACACTTTCTCTTTTAATATTTCACATTTGCAAGGCTCACCTGTTCTTTCCGCACTGTACAAGCCACGAAGTAAGAGTTAAAAGGTATGGCAAACTGGTAGTTTTATCCAGCCCAATCTTTATTTATTGGAATCTCTAAAAGCCATCTACTAGCTGCATAACACTGTGCACAATTAATTAAACCCCAATCAAATAAAATATTCCTTAAGTTCTGTAGAGGATCGACATGCAGACAAGAAGATTTGATACTTTCATGGCTTTCCACTGGCGCAGAACCCAGCAAGGAATATTCATTAGATCTGACTATAAATGTTTGTCTTGTGTGGGAGGTCTTACTAGAATAATATGTATTAGAAACTTGATATTTTTCCAATCAAGCCTTTCCACCACCATTTACATATATTTAATTGTAAATATTCATTTTCCTACCTGGAGCACTTTTAAATAAAAGTACAATAAACATAATGAATGGGAGCGAATAGCTTAGGGGACTTGTGATGAGCTCTACAATCGTTCCAACCTCTACATCACTGGGGCCCATCAGGCCCCGGTTGGTAGCAAGGGGAAGTTATTACTCCCTAGAGCTTGCGGGGGGTCTTGTAGGCTCAATTGCTGGTGATCTCACTCTCATTCCTCCAGAGCAGGGATCCCCCCAAAATCCCCACCAATAAATCATGATTGATGCGAACTGGCATCTGTGCCAATAGGAAAGACGAGGACTGGCAAGAAAACATCCTCTCACACGCACAGAAGTAGATTCCTTTACAGTACAGTTTGCAGTTCTGTCAATACATACTTATCTTCTCCAGACACAGAACTTCACAGACATCAGAACTACTATATTCTGTAACAGCAATTTTATTTAAAGCATAACCAGGTAATATGGAGCAACTAACACAAAATGTTGCCATTCAAACTCAGCTTATTAGTTCCATCTGGCCCAGTTAGCAGCTGCTCTGTCGCATTTACGGGGACACATTTCACTCTTTGCCGGGGCCTGGTGGCAGGGAGCCTGCGCTCTGCCTATAGCTCTCCCACTGAGAATTCCCTGGGTATGTGGCAGCTTTCAGCTGGCACAAACCCCTTCATATGGACTTGTCTGTCCTATATGTTCTGTCCTTTCCTTTCTTTTTTTTTTTTTTTTTCTCTCCACAAAGTAAGAACACACTGACCAAAGACAACCGAAAGAAGGCTGGAAAGTGTCCTTCCAAGATGAGTTTACAAAACCAAATGGGGAGAAAAAAGAAAAAAAAAGGTAGCTGGATGAATAAGCATAAGAAAAAATGGTAGCATCAGTTGGTCTCGCATAAAACGCAAGTTAAAAGAGAGGCTTTTACGTATTCAAACCACTCACAAGCCAGGGACAGCAGCTTCAGGTGGGAGCAGAGGTAAGTATGAAGCCAGATTTGAAGATTCTCCCCTCACCTCCCTCCCAAAGGATATCATGTATTGCATTAACTGAAATCCTTAATGTTATTATTTTCATACTGACTTATTAGCTACACCATGTATTAATGATTCAATAACACAAAATTGGTGAATGTTAGTTAAAGACAGAATGCTAAAAGAGCTCAGAAGAGGTGCACATCCTTGGTAGAGCTTACTAGGAGAAAACAAAAAAAATGATACTTAATTGCCAAGGAATACACTAATAGGAAAATTAATTTTTCAAAGCATTGGATTTCATGCCAAACCAGGACAATGTTACCTCTTGACTTACGCAGCAATCTGGAAAAGATTAAGAGACAACATCTTATGCTTTACATATATATGCTCAGATAAACTATGAATTCTGAATTCGTGTTATGAGCTGTTGTAGGACACATTTACAATAGGAAATTAAGATACCATTCACCTTAATACTGATAGACTAGTGTCAGTGCAGTTAGAGGAAGTAAGAAAATATTTCTGGAGAAATAAGTAAATTGAGTGCCTATTCTGAAGGGTCAAATGCAGTTTTTCTGCATAGAATTAAAGCTTAGATGATAACACATCATAAACTATAAAATAGTTATTGTCTCTATCAGAAAATTATTCTACGTTTGATGTGTGAATTTCGTGTCTGATACGTGAGGACAAATAGAACTCTCATCCTGCATTATTGGACCCTTATCAAAAACAGGATGCTCTTTTCTTGAGAAGATGAAAAGTACAGAGATAAGCAGGGAAATAAAGACTGAAGTTTTAACCAATAATATTTTTGTGTGGTTATCAGAGGAATGTAATAATTAATCTTTTAATCATTCTGAAGATTGTGTGAAATCATAATATCTCATCTTTTCCAGCCTCAACCTGCCATTCTTGATCTGAATTACAAACAATAAGAACGGAGATGATTTAATGAGCAACTTTGTCATGTTGCCATTTTGCCTTAGTCAAAGGCAAATGTCTAGTTTTGCCTCTAAACGAAAATGGGAGAGAGTTACGTTTCAACTGTGCTCACAACTCAGCGAAACATGAATAGAAGTGCTGGGGCTGTGTGTGTCTTCATGTTTTCAAAGAAACACAATTAAATACAGACTATTATGAAGAAATGAACATTCATTTACTAGCAAATAAAACAACGCTGTGAAGAAACACATGCATGACAACAGGTCTAAAATTTAACAAATTACTAAATCCAGACAAAAAGATTTAAATTGCAGAGGTAAGAAGAATGTTCCTATTACAAAGGAAGAAAAATGTCAGCATGATTTAATCATACTCAATAAATAGGCACTTCAATAAAGTATATATTTACACAGGCTTTCTGAATGCTAGGGCATCACAAAGTACTATGGCTTTATTACAATGGATGGAAGATGGCAGCTACTTAGAACCCAGTGCCAACATGGATTATAACAAATCCAGTGAGTATTTTGTTTTTCAATTATTCATAGAAAATTTAATCCTGATTAAGTATCCTTGGGCAGGAATTCATGGGTAGTTGATGACTGAAACCAACATTTATTTGAAATGCTTCTGTTAATTTAATCTGTGTATATGGCTTAATTATGATTGAATCCTCAATGTAAGAGAAATGAATTATATCAGGATTAAAATTCTAGTACCACATCACCCATTCCATTTTCTTTGCTCCCCCCATTCTTTCTTTTTTCTTTTTTTTTTTCTTTTTTGAAAATGTGAGCCTGCTGTTTTAATTACCTTTATATTGCTATGTCTTCTAAGCTGCAGATAGTGTTTAGACCTTTATTACTAGTACTTTCACTCACCTTTATTTCAGAAAAGGTAAATGAGCCCTATTGCTATTCTCCTTGAAACTTCAACCAATATTAGTGGCAAAAAAACCCTTTTGTTTTACACCATTAACACAGGAAAGTTTCCTGCAGCTTGTTGTAAACATTTCATACAGGTTTTCTAGAGGACTCTCCCTCTTTTGCTTCCCCTTCTTTTGCACTTATACATAAAATCCTTTTTTTTCCCTGAAGTATGAAAATAGAAGGAATCTGTATTCATTATTATGCACCACACCAATTTCACAACTGGCCTCTTTCTAACTTGTTTCAGCTCGCAGTCATTTTAACAACTGCATTTTGAAAGGCCTTCGAACCTTGTACTGATATAAAGCAAGGATTTTTGCATAGTTGTTAATGGGAGAGAAAAGAGCCACTCTGTCACATAGCACAGCACCACGTGCTACACAGATACAGTCTTCAAAAGGAGCAGATTTGGGATTTTTCCACTCCACAACACTTGAACAGATTAATCTAGGGATCTTGTCAGGACGAGGGTCAGTGAAGAGTTCTCATATTATCATTCAGTTTTCCATAGAAACCAATGTATCACAGCTGTGACAAAAATAATCTGTGTACTTAGGTCATTATTGCACATTACATAACATTCTTCCTGAACATCTCAGAAGTGATGTCGACTTTTATGTCCAGAGGATACTGTTAGTGGCAATGTTACTGATGACAGTGAAGATACTTCCCAATATAAACTATGAGACAGAAAAAGTCTGTAGAGGATAACCATGGAGATGCACTGACAGAGGATAACGCCTATAGTAATAATCTGAAGACAAAAAGAGAAAAGGAAAAAATAAGTGAAAAGCCACAACTTAAAAAAAAATTTAATTAGCACACTGTGCAAGTGCTTGAAGCTTAACTTTAAGCCTTTTAATACTGCAATAGTTACAAAAGATTTGAACATGAGTTTCAAGTCCAGGATTCAGACTCTCACACCTGTTTTCTTTTTAAAAAAATAAAGTCAGTAGATAGCCCTGGGCAAGTCACATACCCCTTCCGGCTGTCTCTGTGCTGGGGAATTTCAGACTTGCAATTCGCCACCCGTGCAGTTCCACCAGCAGAAGTGATATTTAGACACTCTATTCTTCCAACGAACAGGAAAAAAATAATCCTTCAGCCCACTTTGCACTAGTACAGTCACGGAATTATGAGGATAGTTATTTATCAGCCTCACTTAGCTAGCTCTCTTTTCAGTGCAAGTTTCCTCATCTGGAAAGGATGGGTAAGGCATCATTTATCAAATCAAGAGAGATCACTGCTGTTTCTGAGAAAGTGAAACTCCAAGCTTAAATACAGCCTTTTAAAATACATATTTTTCTTAAACAAATATAGTGTTTATTGATTATGTATTTCTTAATTATATTGAAATGCATTTAAAGAAGAAAACACAGCTGAATTTTCATAATTTAGGAACTGCAGCTGCACACAGTAGTTCAACCTACCCCAAACACAAATACAGGGCAAATATAATCTTCCTATTCTGAGCTCAAATTATTGCAAAAAGAAAACAATTTCATTTACTGATTCCACCTCAGGAGATTGAGAGAACATCCCCTCTTCCTCCCCACAAATGACGAGGTTTTCACCCACCAACAACAGAAAGTATCTTGATGTGTAGGTTTAGAAGATTCTTTTTCAGGCTCCTCCTCTTGAAATGAAATGTGTTTCATTTACGTATTTTAGTGCAACGCTTTTTCTCCCTGTACATCCTCCATAAAAACAAATGCTTGGCTTCAGAAAATACTTGCACCCAAATGCACAGATGGTATTAATTATAAAGAAAAGATGCAAGCTTTACCGTGGAATGAGGTAGTCAACCACTTGAGAATAGTAGTGCACTTTATCTGAACACAGCAGGCTCCACAAACTAGTTCCCTAGTTCCCAGTATGCTAAGCAACTGAGAAACCCAGTAAGTCCACCTTTGTTTTTAACTATTTAGAGTTTACAAACCAAATAGCATATTTGGATAGATCTCTTAATCTAAAGAATACAGTTCAGCTACAGGTTCCCTGACCTATTTAGCCACACGAAGCTTTTAAATGATGAAGACTGAAAAACAAGCAAAAAAGAATCCACTGATTTATCTTGCTACTAGCTTTGTTAAAAGAGTCCCCAAGGTGTTTTTAATTAAAAAACAAACAAGCAAACAATAAAACAACATCAGCCCCTTCACATTTTCCTTTAATTTAACTTAGAAATGATTCCACCTCTATGATTCAAAGCCTTTGTAAAATCTGACTCACATTAGCATCAATGAGAGCTGTGTGACTAAGACTTTTCAAGTTGATTTGGGGTCATAAGATTAACAGCCTAAGAGCATGAGTTTGCTAACAAACACTAAACATGAAGAACAACTACTATTCAAATTTCATCTCTTTTATCTTGCCTGTACATACCTTTTCCCTTTGATATTCTCTGAATATTACAGAAATGGTTGCAAGACATGGGTGGCACAAAAACCAGAGAATGCAGGCCTGAAAGAGAAAAGTGCAAGTTATAAAATGACTATATGCCAGCTGAGAAGAAAGAGACGACAGTTACAGGAACTGTATTTACATTTCTGTCTATTTCATGAATCCACTGCTTACTTTTCAATCAACAGAATGAAAACCACACAATGAAAGGTGGGATTTCTGTTAAAGAAAGCTCTACACTCCTTGTCATATTAAAATGACTACTCAGAGTATGATGATAGGGTACGATTTATTCAAACCAGACATTTAAACATTAGCTTTCTTATGGAGTGAAACAGCTTAGTGCTTCAGTCAACTGCATACCACAATTATATTTACAGCAAAAGGGATCAGTTCGCTCTGACGTGTCCCATACTTTGGCAAAGGTGATATAGAACTCCCTTTTCAGCGTGCTTCTCTCTACTGTGATGATCTGGTAGAGACCAGCAGCCAGTGACAAAGCTAGGCAAACTCTGAGCCCAATAAGCAGTCCACTTGCTAAGCCATGGTGAGAATGGTAGCTGTGGTGATTAGTATCCTCAAACTGCTCCCAGATTAATAAAAAGCCCTGGAAAAGAACAACAACAGCAAAGCACATTTAGAGTAAATAAGATTACACTAAACCTCAATTAATCTTTGCATCACAGATTAAATTACCAACACAATTGGCCAGGCTCTACTCTGCTTGCTGGAGACCATCATGTTACACACACACATGGGTGGAGGCGGAGGGGGTGGTGGGGAAAGCACCCAACCCCAAACACTATCCTGGACTGCTTTTTGGCATTACCTACTACTCCAAGTGCAACTGTCAGGAACAGAGTTCATCTCCCGCATCCCTTAACTTCTATAAAGTTTGTCAATTTAAAGTTTCCTCTAATTTGGATGGAAGGAATGTAGTTTTGTAGCACAAGATCCAAAATAAGCACCTAGTTAAACAGTCAGCCTACTCAACAGGAAGCCCACTGAGCCGATCCTACAGAGCCATGGGGAGGTGTCTCTCTCCACTTGGGATCCACAACCTGTCAAGCTTGTTTCAGAGGCAGGCGACTACGCCTTTTCTTTCAAAATCCTAACAGGATTCACTTTTCTTTTTTAAATATGGGGAAGTAAGAGGGTGGTGCTGCTGCCCCTTTTATACAATAGCCTAAAGGCTCAAGCATTCACCCAGGTTGAACCTGCATCTCCCACAATCCCCTCCTTTGCCTAAAGGAGATCCAGCTCGCATCTCCCACCTCCTTGGAGAGCGCCCTGACTGCCAGGCTATGGGCTGCTCCTGGGTGGGCCACTCTCCACCCCTTCTCTTGAAGCTGTGCCACCATGGAGAAAAAAATCCAAAATTGGCTAGGTCAGAAAGTGTGAGCGAGCCTGACTCTGCAAGTAGCAGCTCCCGAACCGCCCAGGGACAGGGAAAGGGAGCATGGCAGGTTCCAAGTGCTGCTCCAACATCTGGACAGATGCTCCAGCCAGCAGATCGCTGCGTGAAAGGCCGTAATCCCCCTTAGCTCCACCAAATGCAGGGCATTTCCTGCAGAACCCAATCCTGTGGGAGTACTGTGAGAAAGGTCAGCGGTAGACAAGGGAATACCGAGTTTCTGGATCTCGGCTGGGCAGAAGGTAGGTGCCAACTTTTACAGCTGGGTCTTGCTGAAGAACACCCTTGTGGGACTCAGGGAATGTAGAAGTTACAAGCTAGAATGCCCATAAAAGTTGACACTCTTCTAGCATCATGTAGCAGCTGAGTGGCATTTTAAGACTTGAAAATACAGCACAGTCTAGCCCCCCTAGTGCACATATCTACCTTGCACTTCAGTTTCAGGGGAAGCAGCCTTCTGAACGGAGGCAGTCAAGTGTGCTTATAGCTGAGGTCGCTCTGAAGGCCTGAGGAAGGAGACATTGGTTGCCCCAGTTTAGAGATCTAAGTTAGTCCGATTCAGATGGGTTAGTTTTCCCTTAGAATATCCATAAAGGGCACATGCTCGCTCTTCCCTTCCCCTATGCAGACCATGGCACAGCAAGTGCAACTGCTGTTGTTTCATTTGCTTCTCAGCTGCCAGGATGGAAAAGGACAGATGCGAGAGGCCAAGTGTTTAGCACACACACCTTAACACTACTTACTGCTAGTAAATAATTATGACTGCTGTTCTTTAAATGATCCCAACATAACACTCCATTTGTGGGCAACTCCCACAGAACACCTCCGTATTACCACAGAGAATCCTATCAAAAAGTAGGAAAGAAATAGAACTAAAAGGCTGCTGAAACACTAAGAGACAGCACAGCATTGGGCAAACAGGCAGATAAAAGGGAACAGAAGTGGAAAACATGGATAATTATCTTTGGTGAGAAACCAATGAATTCCCATTGCAGAAGTTACTTTGATTCAGGCAGAACTTGCACAGGCAACAAAGGAGGGTCCCACAAGTTACAGAATCACTGTAGTTTGATAGAACATCACCCTTGGCATTAAAGTGTGAGGATGGCCAACCTCTCTAACCACCCTGGACTGGATGTACGCTGCCTGAGAAAATTAAACAGCAAAAAATCCTGCATAGAATCTGACACAAGCGTGTAACCTGCGTAAAAAAATATGGAAAACTGATGGAGATGGAACTTCGATACTACTTCAAAAAGATATTTTAGGTGGATCCCAGGCATGCCTCAGCATTAAATGGCAGAGCTCAATGGGTTTGACTTTTCCTTAACCTGCTACCAAAAGCAGGAGAGCAGACTACATGAGAAGATGACAAATAGCTGGAGTAAATGAACCATCAGAGTAAAGTCCAGGTCCGAGTGGGAAAATAGTGTCTGACTGCACGGTGTGCTCTGGACTGTCCCTTTAAAGAATAAAACCTGTGTCAACAACACAGAAATCAGTTGATCAAAGAGTGTGTGCAACGGCAGCAATGTAACATCAGAGAAGTACAGCTTCCTTCAGCCTCACTGTGCTATTCCAAAATAAGCAGGTGGCAGAGACGAACCCATTAGCGCACTAAGCTGGAAACCTGGCCCAGGTGAAGCTGCCCCATGTGTCATTCCTCTTACTACAAAAGTTGGAACCACGCTGACTAGAGAAAAGTAGTATTCTGAAAAAGAGAAATACATAGCATTTGTACTATGGAGCTTTTTTAGAGTATAATGGATTATGCGACCTAGTCTCTGAGGGAAGTGCTTTCACAGACAAAGATGATATTGAGGCCCAAATTTCTTTGGCTGTGTCACAGAAATTAAGGTCAATAAGCCCTGACATCCCTGCCTTGACCACTGAAAGGCAGACATCAGCTCACTTGGCTGTGATATCAGGCACAAGCTGAAAACAAACAAACAAACAAACAAAACAAACAACCCACACACAGACACCAACTCATTCAAGCAGAAATCAGAGGCTTTTTTTTGTCGGCATTGAGCAGATCTACGTTGCAGCTCTGAAAAGAGCTCAGAGAAGAAATCAGGGTGAATAACCTTCCTAATTACCCAGCACAACCACCCTGTTCAGGCTGTCTACAACAGAGCTGGATGAGATGGGTAGGGGCACAACTGAAAGGCTGGCTCACACTAGTTATACCAAACATAAAAGTCAGTTTCTTCTTGACAAGGTAAAGGAGAATGATGGTCCCCTTGTTTACACAGTAACACCTGACACCACCTGTGTCAAAGGTGTTCAAAACACCTGCCACACCTGTGCACACATCTTACCTATCTTGGGTCTCCGTGGACAAGAACAACTGACCAGTACCCATCTCCCTCTTAAACTGCTACTAAAATGTTTGCCATGGACATCACCCTGATGTTCCAGACATACAAGTTTATCCTCCACAACCACACAAAGAAGTACCAGACACTTCTCTTCTACCATGAGGAAACAATTATGGTGTAGTTCTTCATCCCTCCTGCAATGCCAACATTGATTTTATGGTACTTCAAGATAACATACCAATCTCCAGCCAAAGCAGGTTCTCATGGGACAGATTGCTGAGAGAGACAAAGGAAAGAGGGAAAGGAAGTGGCAGAAAGGTGAAGTGGATTAACTAACTGCTTCTAAACATGTTTAGTACTTTGGTATCTGATGCTATTCATTGTCAAGACAGGAAAAATGTTTTAGATATGGGGTCAGAGGCAGAGGAAAGGAAAAGCATACACTAATTCTGAGCATATCTAGGGGTGTATCTTAGAGCCTAAAGGTCTAATGCAGTAAGAGATGATGTGCATTTTCATCAGCATCAAAGCTATCAGTTTTTCTTCCGGAATCAACGCAACCTCTCCAACCAGCCCAGATAGGTGACACTACTTAGGTCATGGGAGAGGCCTAGATCATCAATGAAATGTTCTGGACAAATCTTGCATCTCAAGAGCAGGGAGCAGAAGCTTTAACGAACAGACAGTGGCCTGAAAATCCCTTGCTTTGAGGTTGACGGAAAGAACAAGTTAAGGCAGAGGGAGATGCGGATGGAAGATCTGTCCCTCCTTGGAGATGTAAGCTCTTATAGCCACAGAGACCACAGAGATTTGCTGACTTGTAGGCTACATCTACCCAACACTGACAGCAACCTGTAAACACATCCCAGGAAATTGCTTGTGTTTCTGAAAGAATGAATACAATTCATAGCACCAGTATAAAGAGTTTAAAAAAAAAAAAAAAAAAAAAAGCATGTGTTTGCAGGGTTGGAATAGCTGGAATAGTTTTTCCAGTTAAAACTGCAGTTAACTTGAAGAATAGCAAGTTTCCCCAGGCTGTCCAGCTGCTCAACTTCCTTCTTGTCTACACGGGCAGATGTCCCTTTGATTCAGCTGCAATGAGCGAACAGGAGAACTTCAAGTTGTATGCGCTTCTCTATAGCTACCTGAGTCCTCAGACACTAGGAATTTGCTATCAATTCTCCTCTGAAGAGACACAGAAGTACCAGAAACTTCCAAAATACTTCAGTCATCTCCAAAATAACCATTTCCAAGTTTACTACTACTAACAGACCCAAGAAGAGGGCAGGTAATGTAGAACATCAGTAAATTAACACAGCTTAATTTTCATATTCTGTTTCATGGGAATGTATATGGGTTCCATTTCTCTCTATAGCAACTCCTGACAACAGCTCTGATTATCCACACAAGTCTGCTCAGCCTCTTGTATGGAAGCTAGCTCTAACTTGAAAATCCTTGCAGAAGAGTAGAATAGACAGAATTAAACCTAGATTAATTCATGTTTTTATAAATAAAAGTGCTCATTGATTGTCCTGTTACAGCACATCCAACACTCATGTCTATCCAGACAGGCCAGCGAGCAATGGAGTAATCCAGAGAACGAAGCTTTAAGATCAGCACCTTTGACAGAAATGATGTTGTCTGGGTTCTGCTTCCCTAAGCTCAGGAACTGCATTCAGTAATAAAGAAGAGAAATCTGGGAAAAGGAATATATTGCAGGTACTGGGCCAGGAGGTGGAAGACACCTCTCTAGAACGGGTGGGATGTTCTCGGAGCCAGGGAAGCCTTGCTGGAGACAGAAGGCACTGCGATGGGGTGCAGAACCACCCAAGCAAAGACTCTTGTCACCCCTGACATTCTCAACAGAAGGAAAATGTAGTAGAAAGATGCTTGCCTGATGGCTGATTTTGTGCCAATGCTTCAGTGCTGCTGAAACAGCCAGTGCAGGTGCACAATGGACCAGAGCTGGGAAAAGCAGCATGTATGTATGGTGTTTGTTCTAATTTTTACTACAACAAAACAACAAAAAAGATCCAAAAAAGGATACTGAGTGTCCTTTCCATGTAAATTGAAAAGGAAACAATAATAACAAAAAATTTTCCAGTCTCAATTGAAAGAACACTAACACACCCATACACATGTACAAGTGGAGACGCACAAATAAAATTAAGTACTTGCCTTAGAAGTCTTTACTACCAGCATGTAAAATTTCTGCTGCTGGATGGGTGTCAGATTGAAGTGTAATGAACCTACCTTGAAATTTCAACAGTCCAACCTTAACAGTCTTTAGTTTAGGTTCTTAATTAGAAAGAATGCTGTCAGCTCCCAGGTACTTTTAATGTTCTAGTAGTCAATTTACTCAGTTTGGAAGCCATACTAATTACAAATACTACTCAAATGTCACAAAACTTAATCTCTTCCTCATTATTGTCTCCAGTTTCTCCCTGTTCTTCTCATTCTTAATGGCTTCCAGATTCTCTTGTCTTTATGCGCGATTTAAAAAAATTTGTTTACAAAAGGCACCACCAGGGTTGGATGATCTCCATTACAATTTACTTTTAAGTTACTAGTTTACTTGGCTTTCTAGTTTATATTAATGGAAATATTTGAATTAAATTATGTGTCAGACCATTTGTATATTTGCAAGACCAATCCTGCACGTCAACCTTTTAAGAATTCTCTTATACTAACTGAAAAGACTACTAGCTATACTGTTAGAGTAGTTCTAAGAGGAGAACACTGAGGGTGTAGTTTGAAATCTTTTTGGCGAAAATAAATTCTTGGCTTTCTTCCCAAACTCTATGTTCACCCCCTTAACCCGCCCAACAAAACCCATTGGTTGTACTAATTACAACATTATAACGTGATACTACAAGCCAGTAAAATAATTGTGCTAAAAATCTCCTGAATCTCCTCCTCCTCTTGTTTTTTTTTTTTTTCCTCCCTTCTTTATTTGGAATCTAGATAATTTCACTGATTTGGTTTACAGTTTAATGCTACAAACAATTGGCACACCAAGAGTTGGAAAACTGTGGGAACTTCTTAAGTGGTTTTCCAGCTGAACAAAAACATATTGTGCATCTACATCTTAAATTGTTAAAGTAAAGAAGAGGTGTTGTTACCTATTAGATATACTGGGTGCACATTATGCTGTGGGCTTTTTTTTTCCAGTCTTGATACTCCCTCCCTCATAAAACATTGAAATTAGTTGGTTCATAGTTCTGTCATACCTAATAGCAGCTGTATATTTCACCATAAATATAAATATAAAATACAAACCTGTGTAACAACAACTGCTACGGCAATGCCAGTAGATGTTGGAGTAGAATCCCACTGAAGAGGTCTGCTGTAAGATTTCTTCATTCTGCCTATTGTCCAACCCATACACAGACTCAACAATAAATACAGCATTTGTATCTGAGAGATTATGTCACACACTGTTGGAAACAAAAGGAATATAAACAGAGTCATAAGAACAACAACAAAAAAGTAATAAAGATTTTCTACAGAAAAGAAAGAAAGAAAGAAAGAAAGAAAAAAAGGTATATACCCACAAAGGGAAGATGGACATTTGACACTTCGACTAGCTGAGGTTGTTTTGTCACAAAATGTGGCTATTTCAATGCGTTTTCAATGACCACATAGTTCACCAGCAGCTCTCCCCTGCTTAGGCTTTAATTCTGCAGCAACATGGGCAGGGCACTGCATCCTTCCAAACGCCACTCTGGTTGTGCTGGAGAAGTCTGGGCCGAGGAGTCCAGACAGCATAAACAGATTTACAAATGCTAACAGACTAAAATCATAATATGTGTGTACTGACTATACTATATATTTCATTCTGCTAATATGAAACATGACGGAATTAACTCCTTTGTTCCAGCAAACTTTCTTGTTCAAAAAAAGATGGTTGCATGTACTTTAAATCATTCATATTTTATCTTAAGGATAAAGAATCTTGCAATAGAAAGTACCTTAAGGACAAATTCCACTCTTAGATACATAAAGAAAAAAAAAAAAAAAAAGCTAATGAGTAACCCTAATAGAACTTAATTTGGAGAAACAATCTGTCTGCACTTTATTTCATTAAATGTAAACGCCTTTTTCCTCATATTGCTGTGTCCATTTTTGCTCTATTTGAAACAAACGGCATGCACAATATAAAGTTACTCTTTTAATCAGTGTCTCAAACATGTGTTTGAAGCTGTAGCTGATTAAAAAGAAATCATCAAGTTAGTATATTCAAGGCTTTACTCATTAGCCTTGCTGAAATGCTACTGTCATCAGAAAGAATTCTAGGTTACTTTCAAGTCCAAACACCAGCTTTAGGAATTATTCAGTACGTTCCAGTCACAAAGTTACATTCTCTGAAGCAAACCATTAGCTGGATAGCCCTAGAAAAAATATTACCTGAGCTTACGGAATGCCAAATCAGTGTCACAATCTCAAAGTATGGAAAAAAAATTTAATCTGGGTGTTTTAAAAAGCATTCACCGATTTTATAGTCAGTCACTCCTGAAACTAGCCTCTTCTCTATGTAAAAGCTATAGGCAGATATTGTTTCTCAGTCACATCTTGGATGTAGATACTGTTGTGCTTTCGTGTAGCAGCAATTCATGTGAATTCCCAGATAAAATGGTACAAGACAAAGACTCAGTACACGCTATTAACTTTGATGGATCAAACATGTTGTCTGAAACTAAAAAGGGTCTTTACCATCTAGAGAAATTCCTAAAACAACCATCCCACTGTATCCAAGGTAGGTACAAAGCTGTGCACAACCAAAGTGGGAAGAAATGCGTCCGATTCCATCACAATCCATCTTTTCGTGCATGTTCATCAGCCATAATAATCAAATTATTGACTTTTATATATTTGACTTATAGTCAAATAATTGACTTTTCCGGTTTTGATTTTGTCAACGTTCATCAGCCATAATAATCTTCTTTGACTTTTCCGGTTTTGATTTTGTCAAAAGTTAAAGGATTGTCAACTACTTGTGCTACTTTCGAGTATCAGAATTATTCATGTGATTATGCGAGCTTAGGTGATTATGCAAATTTAGGTGATTAATTAGGTTTGGGGTCAGGTCTTTATGCACAATAAAAGCTAAATGATGTTGGGAAAAAATATAGTTGCCAGGCATACTATCTAAACAGTTTCCAGTGTAAAATAAATAAATAAATAAATCTGACCCTACTGAAGTTGATGGGAATTTTGAACACCAACTTTTAACTAGGATTTTACTTTTAATATGGGAAAAACGGCAGTACTTTCAATCTCCAAACTATACTTCTTATCCATTCTTCAGTGCTGTAACTGAAACTGAAGCTTTCCACATTTCTATTCCTTCTGCTTTCTTACTCTTTTGGCACCAATGCATTTTAAAATCAGTAGGGAAGGAAAACTCTTAATTAAATCTCTTAAATGTAGCTATTAATTTGAGAAATATGATTTTATTCCTATTATTTTCTGCTTTGAGAAAATACAACTGTGGTCTTTACTATATTGCGTATGCATAAAATCTAAGACCAAACACTTCATGGTGCATTACAGTTGACACTGGATTTTTCGCTGGGGAAGAACCCTTACCCTCCATTTAATATCTTTTCAGAAGACCAGAAAGAAAGTTTAATAACACAGTTGTTAGAAAGACTGCAAGGATTTGCTAGTTCAAATGTTCTAAAGAAGAAAGGGCATCAATTACGGTGGTTTCAAGTGCCATCAAGAGGCTGTTAATTCGAACTGCAAGTGTTACAGTGGACTCCCTGCAGGTGTTTTCCTGTATACATTGTTACTCTACGATACCATCAAAGTACTGCTTTCATGGGGTACTTTAAAACAAATGAAAGTAGCATGTTTAGTTTGGAAAGAAACCTCTGACTAGTGCATTTTAGGATGGGATGTTACAGAAATTCAGTTCTAATGAAAGCTCAGAATACCTATACAAAGCTGAGAAAAGTGCTTTGCTAACATCAATTCTTGGTGTAAGCATCTTTTTGCATGATTCTTTGTCATAGTGTTTGTGCTTTAAGCCACTTCCTTTCTCATTAAAAGGTAGTGACATGCCCAAGATCATAATCTAGTCCAACAACAGCATTAGATAATGCGTTATATAGGTTAATATACAGGGATGCATTAAAAAAAAAAAAAAAAAGCAAGCATACTCACATTCTGCCAGACTTCCCATAAAAGGTGTTCCTATTCCATCTTTAGAATAACTGATAAAAGAGTAAGAGATGATATTTAAATGAGTCATTCCTAAATTTATATTCTCTATCAAAAGTACACTTAGGAAATGATGTTGTTTTAAAAAGTCATATCTATGTTCTGTCAACAATCACCACAGGAAAGATCACGTACTGATCTTTACAGCATCTTCAAATACTACAATTAAAAGCAAATGCAAGTAAAGATACCTTGAGAAATGCAGGTAGTTGGCAAAAGCTGAACCAGCTTGCAACAGCAATGCAATTGACAGCACCTTTAACACAGTATGCATAGGTCCACGTTTCTTAATTGTTTGCCATAGGGACTGTGCATATATGCAGGCAGTTAAGAAGTATGCTAGGACAAGCAGGAAAAAGAATTCATGTAAACCTGCAGGAGTAAAAAGTACAGATTAGTTTTATATAAAAAAAAAATGTTACCAGCAGCACAAAACCACATTTTAGGCAATATTAATTAATAATCTCCCCAGAATGAAAATACATGTAAAATGATTAAATTCTAGCTTATTTTATCCAAATCCAAAAAAGTCAGTTTTTCAGGCATCTGATTATAACCTGATTTGACAAAGTATATTTTTACTCAACAACACATTTGCTTAGTTTAAGAGATATTCTGTTCATAATATAAATAGTTTTGTAGCAAATACTGAAATAAAGTTGCCTAGTTTCTTAACAAGTGGAAAATAATTGCAGCCAGTTTTGTCAGTCAAAATCATTTAATAAATGACTCAAAACGAGTTTGGGTTTTGTGTCAATTTTTAAAGGCACAACCTGAAATGATAACAACCCTGAACATATTTCCATAGGATCTGTATAACCACTGGGTGTCACTCATCCTCCACATAAAAGTTCAGTAAGTCTAAGAAGTAGAGAGGCTTTCTCCTCCCGCCCCGCTCTCCCCTTTCTCCCAGAGAAAGAGAAATCTAAAGAAAAGCAGAAAAAAAAACAGTTATAATTTCATAGAGCAAGGCCCAAAGGTTTTGACACCATCTGTGAAACAAGAGTACTGGAGCTTTTTTCTAGCACCTGCAAGCTTTGGAACCTGTCATATGACCTATGAGAGGGTCAAAAAGCCTGGCATTAAAAAGTGTATAAAGCAAAAATGGGTAAATAGAAGTTTCTCACAAAAAAAAAAAAAAAAGTTTTTCTTCCTTAGCCTTCCAGGAACCCAAGTACTTTTTTTCCAAAAAATCAGATTCTGACTGTTGTTTTTTACTCCAGCAAAACAATTTTGTTAAAAACTTTAAAAACTTCCAATCAGTTCTAATCAGAGAACAGAAACAGAGCAATTATACTCATTTCAATATCTTAGCTGAAGAAAATCATTGGAGTTAGATGAATTCTGATATTCTCTAGTACCATAACTTCTACTAGTTATCTACTAGTCAGAATATAAGGCAACAAAATGGGAGAACAAGAGCATAAAGATTTATATACTCATTAAAACAGAAGTGTCAGAGCCACTCTGGTTTTCCCAACCTCCTATAAAAAGGCAAAATTTATGTCTGACAAAAAAAAGCATGTATTTTGGATCAAATCTCTTATTTTTTCTTTCACTCTATCTTTGTGCTCCAGAAGCAGAAGTTGGCAACATTTAAGAGCAGGATATTTTTCATTATGAAGAGTGGGAACATCTGAAAAATCGACTAGCTTTTAATAAACGGTAAAAAAAAAAATCAGAACAGAAAGCATCTGGCAGCCAAAGACATTACAGCTGATAGGTCAGAGAACAAAATGATTTAAAAGAAATTTGCATATATTTGTATTCCAATGCAGGAGAAAAAAGTATAACTGACTTTCCAACAGATCAGCGAGCAGATCTAGCTCACTCTGTGGTCATAGGATTCCTAAACACAGGGAAAATAGTGTGTACCTTGCTGGGGCAGTCGGCAGGGGAGGCCCAACTACTATGGATTTCAGCTTCAAGTATAGCTCAGATTGAAGATCACTATTTTTTATATATATATATATATACATACATACACACACACACGTGTGTGCGTGTGTGTAGTAGATATGACCGTTATTTCTGACTTTTAAGCAACTTACACATGTCAGGGGGAAAAAAAGACAGGTACCTTAGAGTACCTGACTTTAAAGATTTTCAAACATCAAATGCTGCCTGCTTGGTCAGCTGCTCCTAGAAATCCTAGATTCTTATCTCGTAAAATGATAGAAGATTATTTATTAGGCATGGGAACCCAGCCCTCCTCTCTCAAGGAAACATCATAACAACAAACTTACAGTCTCAAGCCTTGTAGCCTGCTTAATTTTGAGATCTCATGTGTTAGGGGCACAACTCTAAATTTAAGGGAGACCTAACTAAAACCACCTGTAACTATGTAGTTTATTTTTTTTTTAATGAAGGAGGAAAAACAAAAAGCTGGATCTTTTCTGTGGCATTCTAACATTCTAAACTGTACACTTCACAAAAAAAGAACAAAAAATATTTTCTAAAGCTGCCATGAAAAAAGAAATCCTCATAGGCTGTTACTAACTTCAGGATTCAGAGCAGAGCTGCAGGTTCGGCTTCTAAATGAACAGAGCACATTCCTCTGCAGCTATGGAAGGGATGAGCGGCAAGGCTCATCCCATCTCCTATTTTTTAGCTCTGAATAGCTGCATCCAACACATTTACACTTCTTACCACACACCCTAGCTTTTCCGAGTTCTACTTCAGAGTGCTCAAGCCTATTACAAAATTTACACAGAACTCAGCTGCCTTGCTAGAAAGTACTCTTCTTTATTCTACTTTAAGGATCGGATAATGTCTTAGACTGTGTTTGCCTCTTGATTTAGCAGGCTAATGCTGCCTTTGGGGAAAAACTGAATTAACCTGTAATTCACTTTTGGATGTAAAATTCACTAAAGTACAAACTATGCTTTCAGAGGAACTAGTGCAGTTAATAAAGAGACTAACTTAAAGAGCCTGCTCACATAAGCCTGAGAAAAGGAATGATTTACAGCGCACTTTCTTAGAGAACCCACTAAATATTTCAATGTGAAGATTTTCTTCCCTTCAAAGAGAAAGCTGTCCTTGTTCCCTCTACATCCTCTTGAGACCAAGAACAGCAGCAAAATGATTGATTCTTTGCATAGCTAGATGCGTATGTGTTGGCAGACTTAGCCTGCTGAGCTCTTCCCTTAGAACAGTCCCAAGTTAGTGCCATATTGACAAGCGAAGCTGAGTATTGCAGTGATGCCTATGTAGATGGATTGGGATCAACAAAACCATACAGTTTTTTTCTAGGCACTTTCTTGTCTGTGATCTTGAGTCACATCCAGAAGTTCTCCTCTGTAGGTTTACAGGTTCAAAATTACATTTCTTAAATAATAACCACAATGCCTGCAGCCTCTGACCAACTTATTTGGAAACATCTAAACACTGACTTGGAATTGTACTGGCAGAAAGACTGTGTTGTGTGTGAACTCACGCTGCACTGAATCAAAGCTTAAACAGTTAAGGAATGTCGAGAATAAATTCACTAAATTCAGGAATTAAATTCACATTGAAGTGAAAGCTTACAATTTCAAAGGGAAAATGCTTATCAGTAAAGACATAAATATCAGGCCTCCTTGTGCATCTATTTTGCTAATGAAAGAAGTTTTGGACAGTCACTCTAGAGAAAGGGAAGGCTTTATCTGTAAGATTAGAAAATTTAATAGAATTCACTCTTTGAAAAAAAAAAAAAAAAAGAAAGAAAATGAAATGTAAGAAACTGTTGCCAAGTCCCCAGTTCCACACTTTTCCATGCACTTTCAAGTAAGTATTGATTATCTGGGTGATCAGATCCTTAACTTACAAAGCAATCCTTAACTTAAAAATCTAATCTTAAGAAAAAAAAATCTTACCAGATTCCCCTGCGCTAAAGTGATCTAATGGATTCCCTTCTGCATCTGGGTTTAGTAAGACCATTTCAAATTGAATATCCTCGGATTCAGAATAATTCTCCTCGCAGGTAAACTTGTCTACATAAAACACATACCATGTTTCCGGATAAGGAACCTGGGACACTGTCAGATTTTGCTCTGTGTGGTTCACAGTCACTTTGAAAGAAAACAAACAAACAAAACAAAAGCTGGAGTAAGTACTTGAGTAATCATTTTGTTTTTTCAATAGAATTAACCTTTGAAAGAAAATCTAAATTGACATCATCACTTATAAATGGTATATAAACAACATACAGTGAAAAACGATCTTTGTTTTGGAATGCAGCCACGGCACCAAAGAACCAGCTCTCCATCCACATCTTCGGTTTCAACTAGGTGCAGTCGCGGGCTAGTGAGGACACGTGCAGCATTCTGTAGTTCAGCTTTGGGGTTTGCTTGGGACAGCTCCATTCTGCCAGAAGATGGTAAGTTCATAAAGCTTCTACTGTCTTTGGCAATTTCCACCTTCTTGCACAGTGCCCAGCAGAATAGCTACTCTATATTAAAGGACACTTACGCAAACAAAAATAAATATAAAATACCCCTGGGAAATTTATTCTACTCGATTTTCAATGATATGTTGAGCACTGAACAGGAACGGTGACAGAAGAAAACAGTAAAAAAATATCATGCATGCTTTAAAGGTGCTATTGATCTGAGTACGATTCTTAACAAGGGCAACTATTCATCACTACACCCCGAGATGAACATTTGCTGCAAATGAAATCTGTAGCTTTGTGTGTTGAACTGCGAAAGTTACAAGTGCTGTTGCATTGATTACTGAACTCTAGTGTTAGTCAGCTCAATCACAAACAAAAGGCTTCCTCTGTAGAAGAAATGATGAAATAATTAGTCGGCTATAGATGAACTCACTAAAATAAATTATGATAACAATGGCTAAGGATATGATGAAAAAAAAAAGGGAAGATTCAAAGGCCTCCCATATTACAAAATTATCATTACATGATAATAAAGCCAAACTGTAAAACAAGGCAGCATAACTCAGACAAATTAATTTTCACCAATGGCCTACAGACAAAAATGAAAAAAAATGGCTATGAGGGTGTGAAGAAAACAAAACAAAACACAAGAAAAAAAGAAAAGTTTTCAGGTAGAAAGTTTCCCTGTTACTGCATGCTTGGACTAAACACTCCCACCTTACAAACAGTTATTTCAGAATTTCAGAGGTATCTGCAGCAGGCTCTGTCTGTGTTTTTTTTGTTTTTTTTTTTTCCTCTCTCACTACTGAAAAAAAGAACGTCACAACTCAAAATGTACTTCTGTCCACTGCAAACATTTATAAATATAACCTTATACAAAACAAAAAAACAAAAAGCGTTAGTGGAAAGAATAAGTAAGAATTTTATTCCAAGCAGAGATCAAAAAGTCTCTGTACTGAATAAGTAAATGAAACTTCATCCAAACATGTAACTCAGCACTGCACAAATGAGAACACAAGGCTAGAACCTGCCATGAAATTTGGCTGTTTGCATTTGTCTCCCACCATTTGCCACTTAACCAATACACTTGTTACTCCAGCAATACATTAAGTTACAACTTCCAGTCAAAGTCCTCTGCAGCGAGCAAGCAAAGTAATCATATATCCTTGCAATCATTTCATTTTTTTTAATTGTCAGCAGATCGAAGTCCTGCTTTCACTTAAGTTGATGCAAAGTCCAAATTCACTGAAACATCAGTATTCTAAATACCTAGATAAGAATTACTAAGGGGAAAGAAGTAGCAACTCACTTGTCAGCTGAGCTTTAGAGAACTTCTCTGTACAGCTGTGTTGCTGGGCACCGTTGTGTAGCTCCTGCCATTCCTGCGCTTTGAACAGGTGAAGTCTGGCTTCTTTTGTCACAGCTACTGCCACGTTGTTGATTCTGACACACAGAACGGCATGGTCACCTCGATATGAAAATAACAAAATAACTGTTCTTGCCTTGATGCCAGTTATAGAAACAACAACAAAAAAAGCAACAGGTAACAAGCAATAGAACTAAAGTTTCACTTTATTTCTAAAACCTTTTCCACTCTTTATACTATCTTTGTTAAAAAAAAAATTTACAATGTCAGCAACACAATCATGCATACACAGTTCTTAGTGAAACATGGGTGAAAATTTAAGTGCCATTATAAGCCTCCTCTACTTCAAACAACCTTTTTTTCTAGCCCACTTTTTTCTTCCATGCCTTCTCCTCTTCTCCACTTCCAAATCATCATCTTTTCCTTTACCTACTCCAAATTAAGTGTTCAAATAAAGACACGATTGGTTACAATAACTGATTCAAAGTCATTTGTAACTTTTTTTTTACCATGATTAACAGCATCAAAGTCTATCTCTTCAGTCTAATGCCAGAAGAACTTGAGTAAATGGATCTTCATGTTATATTCAGAATAGAACTAAAATAGTTGCTTAGAGATGACATAAATCATTACTAACAAACTTACAGAGAAAACTAAACCTTTAAATGTTCTCTAATCAGACTAGCCACATACTTCATCTTGATATGCAGAAATATTTTGTCTTTTCAGAACAAGCTCCTTTAGCACAATTTATCGCCTGGGTAATTCAGCAGTTCCCAAACACACTTTTACTACATACTGCTAAGCACATCTTTAAGTGCTAAGCACTACTCTAAATTAAAATATAGGGCTTGACAAGACTAGAAGTACATACTGGAGAAAAATCAATCAATATTACAAGAACTCAAGCTTACTCAAACTTACACCACTTTAGATTTTTTAAACGGTGACAATAACCTCCTTTCCCACCTACCCTGGGCATGAGGTGGCTGCTGGTAAACAGACCACTACCAATTTCAAATAAGCCTTTGTCAGGAAAGGCTTGTCTATTCAGAGCCTGCCACAAGACAGTAGTCCTAAAACTAAAAACTAAAAACTAAACTAAAAAAAGCGATCTCTGTAAAACTTTACATGGGAAATAAGTCATCTATATTTCTAATGAAAAAAAAAATCTGAAAAATTACCATCAAGTTCTAAAAAAAAAAAAAAAGAAAAAAAAGAAAAAAAAAAGCTCATACAGCTTTCACTGACACCCGGAATACACATGCATGCAGAAGAAGGAATATTTCTCAGGAAGGATGCCACGTTAACAAACTTGTATAATAAAATACACTCGAGCATCTAAAACATCCATCTTGAATCTTGATGTTCTTGTCTCAGTTTTAAGCAAGATGTTTTGTTCTCCTCAGAGCTATTTAGGGCATTTCTGCCATCATCCTCTAGGACATCGATAATTATTTTTATTTTCAAGTCACTCCCTATCTCCCCCACACAATCGCTCAGCTCTCACTGACTTTTCCCTCAGTCAGAAATTTTTTCGCTTTCCTCTCACACTACTCCTGCGGGCTGGGAGGAATCTCCACACACATCCGTAGCACTATGGTCACAGCTCTTTCAACGCCCGCTGCAGAACTTTTCTGCCACAAAGCCAACCAAAAAAAGAAATCAGTTACAAGCTACTGAAACGCTGACCATATAGAATGCACACGCAGATCAGCAAAGACCTATTGCATACAGTGCTTGCTGTATTTGCAAGTCACCCCTTTCTTCAAAGCAAACCTTCAGCACAGTGTCCCCTCTAACACGGCTCTGTCCCATTGCTAAGCTTTTTAGCAATTACGAATTCCTAACAGTTTTATTCTTAACATTATTAACGCAGGAAAGAAAAACTTAACACAGGAGAGGAAAAAAAAACCCTATGAAGGCTATCAGGTGGGAATTTACATCCTGATGCACGACAGCATTGAGGGGAAAAAAAAAAGAGCAAAACGTGTTAAATAGCACTGCCACCTCTGTCATTTCATTTGCTTAATAGCCGAGTAATCCCATTAGTAAACAGGGCATCTCCAGCAAAGTTATAACCTCCTCTCCACACCCGCCTAGGGCCCGCGAAGGACAACGCAGCACAGAGCGGCCACGGC